GCTGGAAGCGGCGCTCAAATCATGCGAGCTCCAGCAGCCGCGGGACGCTGAGGGCCGAGATCTCCTCTGGCGACAGGTGACTCTGCCGATCACCATAGGAGGCCTCGGCCTCATTGACCCCGCGCGACGAACCTGGCGCCAAGCTCCAGCATGCCCTAGCACTGGAGGTGCACGGGGCCAGGCACGCACGGCTAGTGGCAGACTCCAGACGCATGCCACTCAACCCCCTCCTGGGACACACCCAGCGCCTCCTCTCACTGCTCGGGCCAGGGGCAGGGGACTGGCTGGTCGCCATCCCTTTCTCCCCGGACCTAAGCATGAGCAAGGGGCAATTTGCCACGGCCTTAGCCTTCCGCATGGGCCTGCAGCACTCCCTACCCGGCAACTGCAACTGCCGGGAAAAGCATGAGATACCAGACAATCGGCTGCCCAACCACATGCTGCGATGCACCTTGGGCGGGGGTCCGAAGCGGACCCACGACGCACTCGTGAACCTCGGGATGCGACTGGCCAGAGAATCCCACTTCGTGGCCCACATGGAGTCCACGCTCTACTTACCTGAAACTGCCCAACGCCGCGCCGACATCACCCTCCGATGCCCGGACTCAGCGCGGTATGGGTCTGTGACGTCACAGTCACCGACCCCGTCTCAACCCGCGACCCAACAGCACGAAAGGGGACTGGGTGGATGGCGGCAGAGATGCAGGGCAAAAAGCGGGACCTGTACGACAAACGACTCACCTTCGTGAAGGTGTTGGGAGTCGCCACAGAGACATACGGCTGCTGCTCCCCCGACACACTCGAGTTCCTCCGAGTACTGGCTGCCCTCTCAGCCCGCCGGAACCACTAGGCCGACGAAAAATCGGCGGTGGCAAAGAAGGTACTGCGCAGCTACCGCCAGAGATGGTCCATCACCCTCCAGCGGCAGCAGGCAATCACCCTCCATGCGAAAGTTGGCCAGGCGACAGGCCAGGCTTTCAGCCACGACCGCCCCCTAGACGAACCCCTTACCTGGGGAGAACTAGAGGCCACCATTGAACCTACCTGCGACGGGTGGCCAGGGCAGCAGTAGGATGCCCGGGAGCCCTAGGACATGCATCGCCCCTCTTGTACCCCTGTACCCTTTATAATCATAATAAAGGACTGCTTGAGAGAGAGAGAGAGAGAGAGAGAGAGAGAGAGAGAGAGAGAGAGAGAGAGAGAGAGAGATGGAAATGCAAGGGCGCGTCCAACCTGTGTACAACCTACCTGTCTTGAATCGAATCAGCTCACTAGTAGTACATATGTTGCTCCAGCTCTCAGGAAACGAGGTGAACCGTGAGCGGAGCTTGGGTGCAACGCAGCGCACTCACAGCTCATTGATCCGAGCTAACTTGCCAATGGAGGCGGGCAGAGGGCCGCCATGCAGGTCCACTCCGCCTTGAATGTTCCTGGCGCATTGGGGACGCGGCAGCAAAGGGAGGGGTTATAGGGAGGGAGGGAGGGAGGGGTTACAGGGAGGTAGGGAGGGGCTTTAGGGAGGTAGGAGGGGCTATAAGGAGGTAGGGAGGGGTTATAGGGAGGTAGGGAGTGACTGCAATGCGAAACATGACGAAAGTCGGGAAGCGTGGAAGGAGGCGAAGGGGGAGAGGGAGGGGGAGGGGCAGGGGAGGAGAGGAAACGAGATGGAGGGGGAGGGACGGCCTCTTTCACCCTGGCCACCTTAACCGCCAGCCAAAGAAGCCCATCGGTCCCACTCTCAAGAAAGATGAAACGGAAGAGGAATAGGAGAAGGAAGAGGAAGAGGAAGAGGACGGGGAGCATGACGGCAAGCACGAGCCAAAACGCGGGCGCGTGACGTGACACACGGCGCGCGCTCACATGGTGGTGATTTTTGAGTCGACTCAAAAATCACCTACGGCGCTCGCTCACATGGTGGTGACCATGCCGTTGTCGTCGCAGGTGAGGTACACAGCATCGCGGCAGTCAGCCCCTGCAGACCACCCGCGGAACCGCTGCTTCCACACCACCTGGCACTCCAGCAGGGTCGACACTGCACTCACCGAGCAACGGAGAGAGGAATGTTCAAGCTAAGCTTGTTAACATGAATCGCACGTCCACGGCTGATCGGGGGCTGAGTCTTAGGCTGGGTCTGGGGCCGAGTCTAGGGTTGAGTCTGAGGCAGGGCCTGACGCTGAGTCTAGGGCTGATTCGGGGCTGCTCCATGGCTGATCTGGCATTTTCGGGGCGTGTATGTATGGCCGGCCGTGTCAGGGGTGACTCCAGAAGATATTAACCTTCTCACCATTTAGTGCTAATCTCATGTGCTTCTGGCATTCTCTGACTGACCCGTTGTGAAACCTCCACTAACTAGATCCCCCTCATCCCCCCAACCCCTTCCCTCCTCCCATCGTGCATTTTTCCCACACAGCCAGGTTTGTTTAGCCGCTCCGCTCACATTGCGTTGGAGCCCAGGGCGTGGCGGCGGCCAGGAGGAGGGGGGAGAGGTGAGGCGAGAGCAGCGCGCGGAGCAGGCATGCTCGCAACAACGCGCACGCCGCGGCTGCGGTGACGGCGGGGACGCGCGGATGTCCGCGGAAAGACCGCATTACGCCGAGCTGACGCGTTCCGGAGAGGTTCTTAACGGGGATGGTTCGACACGGGAACACCAGCGAAAGTTGGGGCGGTCGGATGGGGAAGAAACATATCCGAAAGAGAGATCGGAAGAACGCGGATGGGAGAGGTATTGGTAGCCGTGACTCTCTGCAACCTTGAGACGTCCCAAAGGTGTAATGCCAGAAGCTTCGAGAAATAAATCGAGGGGGAGTCAGTTATTCAGGGGCGCGGCAAAAAGCTATCCTGTGAACAATTCAGTGAAAGACGTAGTGTGCGGTCATGACGAAAGAGGCTGCGAGTGACGGCACGGCGTGCAAGGCTGCGTGCTAAGCTGGAACATGACTAAGTCTCTTAAAAAATGATGTCCAGAAGGGCTGAGCGTGGTAGGAGGGGCAACCGAGAAACGGGCAGCAGAGCTATACCAACCAGGATCGTCGCGTACAGGGTCCAGAAGTATTGACAGGATTACTAAGTGGTTTTTTTATATATGTCAAAGGTAAAGAACTCCCGCAGACAAGGTACGCAAAAGGCGCCTATCTAGTCGAGACTTGCAAGCCTTAGCGGTGGCACACTGCATGCGACACCAGCTTGCTTCTACCAGAAGCAGAGCAGAAGCGCAGCAGCGGTTCGCTCAAGACAAACCTACACTCTCAATGCTAAATAAATACAGTGCGAAATAACTACTACCCCACGCGGTCAGGAGGCGTGGTGAATAGGCAAAACTCGCACAGCTCTGGCCTTCCTCCTGGGTGCATTTAATGGCTATGTGCTATTATTTACCTGCTGTGTGAGTGGGATGAAATTGATGATCATGCATCTCCCTTTGGGTGTGTGGCTGGGGAGGGGAATGGAGGGAGTGGGGGGGGTGTTTTGCGGACTGCGAAAGAAGCTTTTGAAGTGCCCGGCCGCGTGTGCCCTTCTCCCCCAAACCTGCAGAGTTCTGGGTGCCGCGCGCAAGACTCTGCCTTGGTGACGCAGAGACGGGCACGATGGTTGGATGGCATTGCACCCCCACGCGCCGCACTTGTGGGATACAGTTGCAATGATCAGCCAAAGAAAGGGTGTGATTTGTGATTTCAGCGAGAGTACCTAGTCGGTCCAAACGCAAAGGCTGTGGGAAAAGCAGCGGAAGAAATCAAAGTTTACTGGTTGAGGGGTCCATTATTTTTTGGGTAATTTGCTGACAGATCAGCAACTTTGACCGGCTGATCTGTACGGTGTAGATCAGTTCTCGCAACAACAGCATCTTTCTAATCTGACGCACCACGAACAGTTCTCAATCATCAACATTAGCGGGGTTTTCTGATCTGATGGGGGGGTGGCTCGGTTTTCCGTACTTTAGAGGTGACACATATGCAAATCGCGTTTCAGCCAAGGGTACACACCAGAATTCGTTTCGGCCCACTACCACCAAACCTATGGCGTTTTGACCGAAACGAATTCTGGTGCGTAACCTTGGCTGAAACGCGATTTGCCGATGTGTCACCTCTTAAGTACGGAAAAACGAGCCACCCCTCCATCAGATCAGAAACCCCGCTAATGTTGATGATTGAGAACTGTTCGTGGTGCGTCAGATTAGAAAGATGCTGTTGTTGCGAGAACTGATCTACACCGTACAGATCAGCCAGTCAAAGTTGCTGATCTGTCAGCAAATTACCCTTTATTTTTTTTCCCCAGCAATTGCTTTTGGAAAGGGGTGTTTTTGGCACCACCGCCACCTACAAATCTTCCCCTGCGGCTGCTGCTGATTGGAGGGGAACTTTTGTCACGATCCATGCCATCATCCTGGTGGACAGGCTCACCATGCATCAGCCAAAGGCAGCGTGGCTGTGGTTGAATGAAGTGCTTTGTGTTTAGAAAGAACGATAGGTTACGGTTGAGTAGGGTGTTCAGCAAGAATATTCTATAGGTACATCCCTTTTCCCCTCTTTTCCCACCCGTCTCTCCGTTCATCTCCGCAGCCATGCTCTCCGCTCTCTCTGCTGCCGTCATGCTCGCTGCCATTAACGCGACCCACCCATGACTGAGCTGTAAAACTACAAGCCCACTCCCTGGAGGTGGGCCCTGGGCATGGAGGCGTTTGGGCAAGGCACGGGGAGGACCTCTATTCTATAGTGAGTATGCATGGGGAGGAGCGGGGGGAGGAGTGGGGAGGAGCAGAAAGTTGGGGAGGAAGAGGGGAAAGGGTGGGAGTGAGGGGTGGAGGAAGAGGCACAGGGGGAGGTGGTGGTGGGGAAGAGGGCATGGTTGGTAGGTATGGCGTGGATGTGCGTCAGTGCAATGGGTGGTGTTTGGGATCCCCCCAACGAGCTAGCATTGGAGAGAGTATCAAACATATATGCATATGTTATTATATGCTAGATAGGTGAATGCTCTTCGAGAGTATAACACTAGCACAAACTACCATGTACACCGTATTCTAGTCAACTCGTTACTCTAAGAGAGAGAGAGAGAGAGGGGCAGGCATAGGTGAGGAGGAAGACGGGGTGCAACAAGGCCTCTGAGAAGCCGTGCTGATTTGGTAGCATTGGCCGGTTCAGTGCAAGTGACTGAAAGGTTGCATGCATGCATCTGACTCCAGTGCTTGGAGGCAGGGCCTCAGATTGGTTTTAAGGTACCCTGATTGCTCAGGGTCTCCCCCACCCCCCCCACCCCCCCCCCCCATGTTTACCCTGATTTTTCAGGCCTCCAAAAAAAAAATCCGCCAAGTAACCAAGGTTACTTCAAATTTTCATGCTGATTTGGCGAAAATTGGGAGATGGGCACAACGACATTCGGGGAGGGCATGGACGGGACGGAGTGGGGGGGAATGGAGAGAGGGAGGATTCCCGCAGGTATCATGATGATGTTTAGGCCATCAATTTTTACGGCGACACTTTCACGAAGTCGCGGCCAATCAAATTTCGCCGATCTATCCAATTGCATAGCACAACAAGATTGGCCTAACAAAGCCAACACACACCCAATGTGTGCCTTGCAAAGGGCCAATAAGTCCTCACACATGGCGCAACACACGCTAGCCCTAAATTTCGCGAAGGGCCAAAAATTCTCCTCACAAATCCCCCAATATACGCTAGCCCTAAATTTCGCGAAGGGCCAAAAATTCTCCTCACAAATCCCCCAATATACGCTAGCCCTAAATTTGGTTAAGGGCCAAAAAATCCCCTCACACATCCCCCAACACACGCTAGCCTTAAATTTGGCGAAGGGCCAAAAGTTCCCTCACAAATCCCCCAATAGACGCTAGCCCTAAATTCGGCGAAGGGCCAAGTGCCCTTGCAACGCTGTACAAACAGAGTTAACTCATAAAAAAAACCCCAGAAATTTCTGGGTTGTGTCTCAAAAAAATCCTAGCGCCTCAGGGTCGGTACTAAAAAAACCTCTGGAAAAATCTGAATCATGAAAAAACCTCCTTGGAGGGCACTAGCCTTGAGAGTGAAATGCCGCACCAGGTCATGTCAGGAGCCCAAAAAAAGAACAAAAAAATGACTGAATATATTAAGATGAAGCTACTTCTCTCAACCAGTGCAGGCAGCCCTTGACTCACCATGTAGAATCAATACACATGGTCAGATAAGGGCGTAGTCCTACAAAGTAGGATCCATTGAAAGTAGGATCTACTACTTGTAGAGCCGGATCCACGTAATATTACAACGCGGATCCAGTTCCTTCGCTATGCGATGGAGTCGCATTGGGCCGCATTTTGTCATATATCAATCGCACACCGGCATAATACACGCGGAGTGCGACAATGAAAGGCGGTCAACCGTCGAGTGATTATAGGCGCGCCGAGGCGCCACGTCAGTCCGACAGTGCAGGGCAACAAACTTAGCAGGTCCGGGTAGCAACGCAAAGTCTCAAACCGTCCAACTCCCTGCCCATTCAGCTACCATGCAGCTATGTTTGCTGGTTTTTCCGAGGCGTGACTCCCGCCTCAAATTTGAAGGGTATTTCATCCTGATTGCCCTTGCCAGCGACCGCTTTTTCAGGATCACCCTGATTTTGGAATGGTATTTTTTCTGTAACCCTTTCTGTAAAAGTGTAGGTTTTTTAACCCTACTGTAGACAGAGTACTCCGCATTCTACCCTAACCAGGAAGGGTGTCCCCGCCCCTGCTCAGGACACGCTCTTGACGAGCACTGCTGAGGCCGGGTACGCAGTGATTAAGAACCGTTTCGACAATGACTGGTCAAAACGGTTCCCATCTGCGGCTACATAGGATGAACAGCTGACGAACTGCTCTCAAATGCGCCACCTGCCTCAAACACGCCGACCCATCTGCGAACACCTCTTGCGACATCAAGGGCGAGGGCGGGCGCGACTTGCAGCTCGGCAACATTCGCTCTCTTATCGGCACCCGTGCGCACAAGTCGGCGCTCAAGGCAGAAGAGGATGCCGAGAAGGAGCGCGCGGGCCGAGGGTGTCAATTGTGACGAGAACCTGCACTCTTTCACCTACAAAATCCACGAGCGACCGCTCCCTGGCCATGATTCCGAAGGCGACGTGACAGCCTGCTTTGACCTGCGCGTCAAGTATGCATGATGCGTCAACCAATTCCTTGACCGCCGCCTGGACAACCTGCGTAACCTGGAGGGCACCAAGCTGTTTCTTGACAAGACCTACCTGGACGACGACATCATGCGCGAGGCGGCCTTCAAGAGATGGCTGAAGCAGCTCGATGGCATGTTTCGGCAGAAGCTCCCAGGTAATTTTAAGGTGCTCCTTCTCCTCTCAGGAATCGTGGTGTCCCAGGCTAACAAAAGGTATTGTCGCTACCACATAAGTCCCCAAAAATGTACCATGCCTTCCTCACCGCCCCGAACCTCGCCTGCATTCAACTACAACAAGGTGATCACAGAGTTGTGGATGTTCACATCCACCATGCGCTCGTAGCATCATCACGAG